CAGGGCCCTTAGCTAGGCTGGTCTGGGAGTGGGGCAATTCATACTCCCAGCACAACTTGTGGGGAAGAGGGAGGGAAACCATGATCCAGCTCTTTACAGTGCATTTTGAGAAAATGTAGAGTTGACCTATGTAGTGGCTGGAATTCCATCCATCCATCCATCCACCCACCCACCCATCTATCCATCTACCCATCCATCAACCTACCCACCCATCTTTCCATCCATCCATCAACCCAGCCACCCATTTATCCACCCACCCATTATCCATCCATCCATCCATCCATCCACCCACCCACCCACCCACCCACCCCTCTGTCCATCCATCCATCCATCCATCCATCCATCCATTAACCTACCCACCCATCTTTCCATCCATCCATCAACCCACCCACCCATTTATCCATCCATCCATTCATCCATCCACCCACTCACCTATCTATCCACCCATTCATTTATCCATCCTTCCATCCATCTATCCATCCATTCATCAATCTACCCACCCACCCATCTGTTAACCCTTCAACAAATATCAACTGAGCATCTGTGATGCAGGGGTAGGGTCCTAAGAATACAATGTTGTGCTGAAACAACCCTCCTAGTACTTCCAGTCTCCTGAAGAGAGGAGCTAATAAAACACTTCAGTGTAAATGATGCAGATGCTAAGAAGAAGCCCTGCAGGTACCATGAGAACCAATAGCAGGCAGATTTGACCTGACTTAGGAGGCCAGGAGGGGTTGCCTGGGGAGGCTGCTTCAGGAGAGGAGGAGAAAGCCCCTCTTCTTTGTCTATCATAGCCCTGAATATAGCTGGGTCTGGCAGACACTGCTGGTTGCTTCTCCAACACCCACTTCTCCCTTCATTTTTGTCCACAGAATCCAGTTTTGTTAGGTATCAGGCATCTAGCCCCAGAAGATGAGGAGGTATCAGTCTAAGCTAGCCATGGTGATCTCACTTGCCTTTTGCCTGTGATTGGTTTAGGAATGTTCTTGACAGCGAGGCCTAGCAGAAGTCTTTCAAGGGCTCAGTTGTCAGCTTGGAGTTGGATATGAACTGACTTTGCAGCATGATCCATAGGCAGGCATACACTTTGGAGTTGACACACTTAGGGACTTGGACAGGTACCAAGTAACCCCATCACTTGAGAGAGACAGAATAGGAGGTTGGTTTCTAGAGCTGGTCCTGTCATTCATCAGCCACATTAAATTTGGCATGTCTTTTCCTCTTTCTGAGCATGAGTATCTTTTAATGTAAAGTGTCGAGAGGGTCACATGTGCCCTGCTTTCCTCAGTCAACTGTTGTAAGGATGAAATAAATGATATTGTTGTGAAGTGTGCCACATGACTGCAAAGTGCTGTCAAAGCGTGAACCACTGTCATTGGCAAGGCTTGATAAATGATCCACCATCATCAGTTGGGGTTACAATTGCTCCTTGGAACCCTCCAGGCTCCTCAGATTTTTCTGAGTGGAGGCCTAATTTCAGATGGAGAAGATGCTCCTCTTCCTTGAAATGTCTTTTGACTTGTAAGCTCACTGCTCTAAGTGGGCTCAGGGAGACTGGCTGGCTCCTTGTGTCACCAGGGTGGAGATTTCCCTTTGTCTAGGAGCCCAGTGGCTCCTGTATGTGAGTGAAACTCTGAGTCCCTCTTGCCTCAGGATTCAGGATGGGGTCTTTGGCTTCATCAGAAGCCCACAGAACTCGGAGGCCATCCAATGGAGGAAATGGGCTACGAAGCCGACCCCAGTAGCTCCTTTCTTTCCATTTGTTAACATAAAGAGTTTGGGTGGGGCAGATGCATGTTTGCTCAGGGCTGGGCCTGAGCTTTGGCTCCCTTCCCTTTTGGAATTCGGTTACTTCTACTCTTCTCTATCCCTGCCCACAGAGCTGGTGATGTTGGGCTGCATCTTTTTTCCAGAACTCTCTGCTGGAAGTACCAGCCTCAGTCTTGAGACACGCTGTTCAGCAGAACTTTCTATCATGATGGAAACGTCCAATGAATTTCCTTTGTCCAGTGGTGGCCACAAGCCAAATGAGGCTGGCAAACATTTGGAATGTACTCAATGTGACTGAAGCATGGAATTTTCAATATTATTTAATTTCAATTAATTCATATTTAAATTGCTACAAGTAGCTAGTGGCTTGTGTATCAGACAGTACGGGTCTACAGCTCAATATCCCAATCGTTTCAGTCTCTCCATTGCAATCAAAATTAATTTGTCCTGTGTCCCAATCCCAAGGCTCTCTTCTTAGAGAAGCACCAGCAAGACAATCTCATAAACAAATTGCTATCCATAAATTAAGGCCTTTCTCTCTTAGGTACATGTGTAGGTTTTGAGTAATGCTACAATTTAGTCAAAGCAGAGGTTCAAATGATAGGAATTTGAGAAACTCTAACAGGTAAGTGGTGGGGGAAAAGATTATGAGTATAGAGCTTTAAAAGAACTTCAAAGCACACCCTATGGGTGGACACATCCTCCCTAGCACCCTGGGTTGCTTCTAAGCTCCTCCTGACCTCTTGCAGTCTGGACAGAGTTAAGGGCAGAATTGTGTGGATGGGAGCCTGGGAAAGGGCTGGAGGTGGGAGGGTTGGAATGGGCAGAGCCTGAAGGATGCCAGGGCTCTTGCAAAAGAATCTGGCATGCCAGGCAGAGAGACAGTTTGTTCCACCCTGGGTGGGTATGGGGCACGACGGAGTGATTGTTAGGGAGTGATGATTACCATTGGGACAGGACTGGAAAGTTAACAATTAAGTTAAAGAGACCAGACATCATATTAAAGGCTGCAAAATGAACTGTGACACTTTGGGTCGGGTCTTGGACAGGAATTGCAATTTTACTCTTAATTTTTAATCCCCTCTTTCAAGGAGCTTCCCCCCCTCTGAATTCTTCTATGAATATTGCTTTCTGGATGTTCTTTTTACCCCGAAACTGAGCTGTGTTTCTGTTTCTCTTGACCATGTAACTGCTTCCAAGTTCCTGCCTGTAATTTCACAGATATCCACTGGAATCAGAAGCATCTTTGTAATCCAAACACCAGGTTGGGAAAGGGTGGAGGATAATGGAGGCTGGGTGCAGGGGTCAGGGGCAGATCAATCGGAGGAATAAAAGGTCCTCGAGGTGCACTCAAAGATGAGTAGGAAGTGTGTGTACAAACCCTAGGGCTTTGGAATTTCCTTTTAGGGCCTTGGTTTGCCAATTGGTACCACAGGTAAATCTGCTACCACCACTTTATCTACTCCATACTATTTGGTTAATTAAAAAAAAAAGATTTCTGGTTAAGTCACTCTTTAGAATGGTGAGCCTTTTGCTGTAAAAAGTTGAAATTATATAAAGTGAAGCAGAGACTATGTCTCAAATCTTTTGTGCAATAATGTTGTCTATGAATACACGTCTAAGAATAATGAATACACACACAAATACAAAGTAGCGCCAAATTTTCCCGGAGCTTTGCAACACAGCTCAGACTATTGGGTGCTTTCTGACCTCTTCAAACTCTTAAAGGAAGGGTCCACTCAGTCTTCAGCATTGCCCTGTTCTCTTTCATTTGCCTTTCCTTCTAGTAAATAGCATGAGGCATTTGACATCAGGGAGTAGAAGCCAAGACTGGAGAAAGCAACTCAGAGAAGTCTGAATGGCTCGATTCACCCCTTCCAATGTTACCAGAGGCTCCTGGGCAGGGCTATTATGCTATGGGGTGCTCTTGTACCCAGAGCATTTTGATGACTGATGACATTTCTTCTGCAAGTATTTGCTAGTTTTATTCTGAACACTGTAAATTTCAGTTGATTTCCCTGAAAAACAAAAGCTCCCGCTGGGCTGAGACAACTTAGAGCAGTGGTTCTTGGTAGGGACAACTTTGTCCCCACCCGGAGGACATTTGGCAAAGCCTGGAAACATTATTTTATTATTACTTCTGTCGGGGGGAGTTTTGTCCTCCTTGGAACTGTCTGGAGACATCACTGGTTGTTAGAGCGAGGGTGGGTGGCGTCCTTCTGGTTTTTAGTGGGAGACACCAGGAAGGCTGCTGAGCATCATATGATGCACAGAGGAGCCCCCCAACCCAGAACGATCTGACCCAGAACGTCCACAGTGTTGTTTGAGAAACCCTGGTCCAGAGGGCAAGTTCAGGCTCAGTTCTTGACACCAAAGCGGCATGATGGCTCTCAAGGGGCTATCATGTTTCAATGTGGGAAGACTAGTAAGTTCCCTTAGATGGCCCCAAGAAGTCCCAGGAAAATTTTGCCTGGCATTTTCTTCAACCAATAACTTCATCGTTTTCCTATCCTCCTGGCTCCTTAACTTCCTCTGAATGAGAGAGTACAGCCTCAAAGTTGTACATGTCAAGCTCATCTCAGTGGGTCCAGATCCCATTTGACTGTAGTATAGATAGAGGCAAGTCGGGGGGCTTGGTTTTTCCATCTATAAAATGGAGTCATAATACTTCATGATCTATTTGCTAGGCAGTCCTGGCAGCCTAGGGTTTCTTTGCCACTGATAGATGAGGGAAGACCCAGAGCTTGTCACATATGAGTCCTGCCATGAGGGCTGGGAGGAAGGAGACACAGCAGTGACATTACAGGGCCCAGAAAGCTGTGGCAAAAATTTATGTAGAGTTGCTTAGGAAAATAAAAGCAAGCATAATATTTCTCTCTCTGATTCTAAAAGTAACACAGTCATTGTCGATAATCTCTCAATTACAGAACACTACAAGGAGAAAATAAAACTCTCTCATGATTGCACCACTAGGAGATATCAGCTATGAAAAGCTTTGGTATTTTCTTCAAGGAAAAACTGGGCAAAGGATGAACATCAGGTTTTCTGAGCTGGACAGGCTGGGGAGATTGAAACAGCCTTTGAAGACAGCAGAATGTGCCAGTGTAGACATTGACTGGTTTGAGATGATATTCTGTGAACCAAGATAGTTGAGCCCCTGCCCTGGATGAAACGGACAGTGGGGCAGATGGGTGGTGTGACTGAGGGGCATGTGAACAAGTCCCCCTTACCTTCAGGATTCATGTGGAAAGCATCCTCAGTGTTCGCCTCCATGAATAGGAGAGTTCTTCAGCTGAAAGAGGAAATGGTTCATTTTAGCTGAAAGATGAGAGAACAGGAGATTCCATTTCTGGCTCACTCTGCAGTATGTAGCATGGCTGACCACTGGCACCTCAGTGATAGGCATGAGACAGCTTTAATGTTCTAAAATTAGTTTTTTGGCAGCCTTATTTTGAAGTAATTTTAATCTTACAGAATAGTTATAAAATATTAAAAAAAATCATATACTCTTGACCCACATAGTCAGTTGTTAGTATTTTACCACATCTGATTTATTATCTTTCTTCTCTGTACATAAAAGTTACTTCCTAATTATTTGTGACTTAGTCACAGTCATGATGCATGTTTACCCCCTAAATATTTCAGTGTGTTTTCCTAAGAACAAGGACAATTCTCCTACCTAAACATAGTACAATAATTAACATCAGAAAATTAACATCCATACAGTATGATTACCTAATCTATAGGCTTACTCAAATTTTGCCAGTTATCCTCGTTGGGATTAGATTTCATAAAATTTGGTCCTGGAGACCTTAATGAAATTTATTAACAAATTGTGACATAGTTATAGATGAATTGGAATTCTGGGTTTTGTATAAGAACTTTCAGACTCTGGGGACTGACTGGTTTGGGTCTGGGAGGCATGAAGGGACAGCTGTTAGATGTATGGATCTTAGGAAAAAAATGATTTCCGGACTTGACTGCAAAATAGACCGGCATAGGTCTATGTTTTTGTTGTTGTTGTTGTTGTTGACAGGCTGTTACTCTGTCTCCAGGCTGGAGTGCTGTGGCACAATCACAGCTTACTGTAACCTCAACCTCCCAGGGCTCAGGTGATTCTCCCACTTCACCCACCCCCTGCCCAAAGTAGCTGGGACTACAGGCACACGTCATTACACCTGGCCAATTTTTTGTATTTTTGGTAGAGATGGGGTTTTGCCATGTTGGCCGGGCTGGTCTCAAACTCCTGGCCTCAAGTGATCTGCCTACCTCGGCCTCCCAAAGTGCTGGGATTACAGGTGTGAGCCACCACGCCCAGCCTACAGCTACTTTTCAAAATGGGCTTCAGTATATATGAACAGCAATTCTTAATTTAATGCCCAATTTTGTCTTGCCCATTCCAAGCAAAGGCAAATAATCTAACCAGAGTAACAGACCAAACAATGCTTTTTCTAAGTCTTCAAAATGCAGAATCTTCAGGATTATTCCTTGAGGAAGCCAGTGCTGAATATTCCCCATGCTGACTCAATGGACAGAGGAGGAGGTGACTGGCAGGATGCTGTGGTTGGTCACTAGCAGCCTCATGCCATTGACAACCTCTCTCTCTCTCTCTCACTCACACACACACACACAAACACACACACCATTTTCTCAACATTGCTGCTGTTGGCATGATTAATCAAGAGCCTGGAAGTCTTTACAATCAAAGGCTACCATGTGGCAAGGGCCATCTGGGCATAAGACAGCCAGCCACAAGGCATTTGATAATAAGGGGCCTGTTGGATCCAGAGCCTGTGACACAGATGTCTGGGGCACGCTTCTTAGAAGCCACTCATTTTTCTCCATAGGATGCAGTGACACCAAATTTTCTGTTTTAAAAAAATTTAGATTCTAAGAATTATTTTAGCACTTAAAGTTCTGTCTTTGATTAGAGTTGTTCTGCTCTGTTCAGAGCAAATCCTGTTCCGTTCTATCATCTCCCAAATAAGATCCAGACTGTTTTTACACTCTTGACAGAAACCCTGAGGGGTCAGCGAGGGAGTGGGGAACCAGGACAAGGGCTGTGCGGTGGGACGTCTGGAACAGCAAACGGCAGCAGTGAGGGCTTCAGGGCAGGCGGGCATAAAGGGATGGCTTCTGCAGTTCAACAAACACTGATTGAGTGACAGGCCCTGGGCCCACTTGGTCCATTCATCTATTATTCATTCAGCATTTATGAAATGCTTGGCTCACCACTTAGCCCTTGTCATCCTCTGCCCTGGCTCCCACATCTATTCTTTACTTGCTCTGTGCCCTGCGAGTCTGACTCCTGTGCCCTCTAGCTTCAAGTAGAATTCTACCCACAGTGGGTAGAGCACGGAGATGGGCATGTCAGGGTATCGATTCCCTTCCTCTCTGCCTGCCTCAGAGAGTGGTGCTAGCCATGGTTGTGTTTCTTTTACCACAAGTCCAGTTAAGTAGTCATGACTCCAGCTATCACTGGGCCCTGGCAAAATTATTCCCTCTCCATTCTTCTTCATGCAGATAGTGGGGTGACAAATTCCCTTGTTCTTCTAACCCTACCCCTGGGCATGTAAAGAGTCTCTTTATATTCTCTTCAAAATCCTAGCTGTGTATGCCATCCTTTTTCTGTCTGATTCTAATATGGCCCTTGAATATGTGCTAAATTGTGCCTGATTGCTCTGGACAAGCAAGAGAGATGTAAAATTTTGTATATACTTCCTAATATGAGGATATACCATTATGGGGTGGGGAGACATAATTTAATAGAAGCTCCTAGGAGAAATAACTGACAGATTTCATCTTTTATATACTTGAGTATTGTGTGTCAGTCAAAGGCCAACCTGATCTCTGGTCACATCATTTGAAGTGTTGCATCCAGAACAGGGGAGGTGATAGTACTACTTAGTTCTGTGAATTCTACATTAGCTCCCACTTGGAGTACTATGCTTATTTCCCTGCTCCTCCTCGCTTTAGGAAAAAGCATGTTACTTATCTTCAAGTTCTGTCACACAGAGCAGAAGTTGAAAGAGTTTTTCTTCAAGAGCCAAATAGTAAATATTTTCAGCTTTGTAGTCTTAAATGTTCCGAGTACTCTGTTACTGTAGTACAAAAGCAGCCTCAGACAATATGTACATGAATAAGCTTGGCTGTGTTCCAATAAAACTTTATTTATATAAATAAATGGGCTGGATCTGGCCTGCAGGCATTACTTTGCTGAACTCTGATAGAAGAGTGCAAAATGAATTTATTCTAGAGGTGCCCAGAAGGCAGAAGTTTGAACAATGTGTAAAAATCATGGGGTGGTAGATTTGTGCTAATTTTAAGATCATTCTAGTGGTGATCACTCTTCCCAAAGAGAATCATCTGTTTCATACGTCAGTGGGTTTCTTGTCTTTATAGGGGTTCAAAGCAAAGGCTGAGTGTTTTAGAAGAATTTTCTGCAGAGCGTGGGGAGTAAATTGGATGATGTGGGAGGTAACACTGCCTCGCATTTCTGTATCTCCAGCATGGTACAATGCACACATAGTAAATCTCAGTTCTCTGTGCCTAGAGGGAAGGGGCTGTGTCATATCCTTGCATCCCACCCACTCCTGAAAGTCTAATATAGTGCTTTGAATATGGTGGGTGTGACTAATACATTTTTTTGTTCAACCTGACTCTTTAAATCCAATCTTGCTGACAGACTAATTACACTAATTTGTCTTTAGTACAATCATCACTACCAGTCATATTAAATCATTCAATTACCTCTGATAATCTTCAACATTTGAGGACTTTCACTGAAAATAATAGACAACATTTACTAAGTTCTTAAAATATGCCAGCTATCATGCTAAGGACCTTACAGGCATTATCTTATTTAATGCTCCCCAAAATCTCTGAGGTAGGCACTATTATTACCCCTATTTTATTGATGAAGAAACTGAAATTCAGAGAAGACTCATAGCTAAGAAGTTGCAAATCCAAAACTTGAACTGAGATCTCTTTGATGCCGAAGGCTGTGCTCCAACCACAATTCCATTCTGCTTCCCAGCCATTCATTTATGCTTTCATGCACTGAGTGTTCAACAAATACCAATTGGTTGCCTGCTATTTGCCAAGTAGTATTTTAGGTGCTGATGATAGAGCTGTGGATGTAAACAGGTCAAGTCCATGCTCTGAAGAAACTTACATTCTGGGTGGAATAAAGTGGGGGTTGATACACAATTAACAAATGAGAAAATAACAAATTAACAATTTGTTAATTATAAAATAACAATTAGCAAATGAGAAAATAATACATGGTAATTCATCACAAGACATGAGGAGATTAAAAAGACAATAAATATTTCTTGTCCACACTAGAATCACAGGTATAATCCTAATTGATGAATTTAGCAAAGAAATGGTAATTCATCACAAGACATGGAGATTAAAAAGATAATAAATATTTCTTGTCCACACCAAAACCACAGGTATAATCCTAATTGATGAATTTACTGAAGTTCTTTCTTGTTTTTGTTTTCTTCAACTTTTAAGTCCTGCGGAAAATGCTTAGGGTGTGCAGGTTTGTTACACAGGTAAACGTGTGCCATGGTGGTTTGCTGCACAGATCAACCCATCACCCAGGTGTTAAGCCCAACATCCATTAGCTATTCTTCCTGATACTCTCCCTCCCCACACCCTGATAGGCCACAATGTGTGTTGTTCCCCCGACCTGCTGCCCCATGTGTCCATGTGTTCTCATCATTCAGCTCCCTCTTATAAGTGAGAACGTGTGGTGTTTGGTTTTCTGTTCCTGAGCTCTTTCTTGTTTACTGACATTAGCCCAAGGTTAGTTTTTTGTCCTGACAAATTGTCAGATAAATTGACATTAGCTCAACGTTAGTCTTTAGTCCTGACAAATTGTCAGATAAACTCAGATTCAGAAAGAAATTGTCAGGATTTCTGGCAATTGATAGGGATTACATATGGCAATTTATAGACATGCATGTGGAACTCTTGAATGAAAAGGAAGGTTAGTCAATAAAGCACTTGGGAATCACTCTTTTTGGGCAGACTGAACTTGAGCAGAAGCAAGCACATCCACTTGAGTCAAAGGCATGGGCCTTGTTTAGGAGCCAAGGTACCAGGGTGGCTGAGAGTGGAGGAACCAAAGGGGAATTACAAAATCTTGATTGAGATTGAGATGGAGACAGACGGAGCAAGATAAATGGGGTAAAGTCAAGTCAACTGTCAGGTCCAATAGGCAAATGCTGACTGGGAATGGGAGACAGTGCCCAAAGGTCATGGGTGGAGTAAACACAAGCC